GCAGCTCACGACCAATCCAAAAACTTGTGCGACCTAAGCACGGTTTTCATTTTCGACGGATCGCGTTGTTGACTTTTATATCGAAATTGTTTAAAATACACCTCGATCGAACTATTCAGACGCAATTTCATTTGAAAAGAATCATTCCTTTGACGCAACATTTTAACGATACTTTTGATAAAGGTAAGACTTTAAGTTTCCACAGCGTTTCTAGGGATTTTGATTGTTAAGAAAATGAGGAAACGCTACTGGTTGCAATGTTTATCGAATGCGGACTGCCATTCTGGAAATTACGAATTGCGAACCCTCGCGAAATAATCACGTGTTCTAATTATAAAAACAAATAGTTCAATGTAATTTTATTCGACTGCAGGAATTCACGATGCGTGCAGAATTGCATTTGTCACGAGTACATCGTGAAAAGAACATTTCCTGCTTTTTTTTTACGTAATATTTGCTTATACATAAAGTATTCAAAAATCGATAATGGAACAGGATACTCTTAAAAGCGCACGCGTGAACCGATACCGATGCGTGTCAGCTGTCCACCGTTGAATACAACGTTGTATCAGGAATTCAAGTATTCCTTATCCTATTGAGTCTTCCAATGAACAAAGAGAATTTTATACGGCTTTAATGGCTTGTGATAATCGGACGAAAGTGTACCTGGGATACGAAGATGAATATGTTACTGACAAACACCGGTCGAGTATTAATTTTATGACAAATAAGATCGGCGGATTTCCAGTAAGTAATTGATCAACATTCAAAAATATTTTTATCCGACTTGTGACAATTTTCAAATTACAACTACATTATTTTCCATTTTTCAAACAATGTCTTCTGTACTCTAGTGCAATATGTAATCAGCTGTAAAAGTCTGTACATATGTCTGTATATCACAAATGTAAAAATCAACAGTAACTTCGTTGCTGACATCGAATTGTTTGTTTGCAAAAAAATATAATCATTTCAGTTTACAATCATTTGCATTTATGTCAACATTAATAAACGTTTAACAAACATTTAATTAAATGGATTTAATTTTCCATAGAACTGTTATGACAAAAATACTCTGTCATTACCGCAATGCAGACTGTGTGGATTACGTCAACTGTTGGTCTTGCAACTGTATGTTCCATTAGATAATTCTAAGTATCATAGGACACTTTATATTTTTGCCTGTATAAATCCAAATTGTTGGAATCAAAATGAAAGTTGGACCTGCCTGAGGGTTCAAGTTTTAGCGGATGAATGTCAAACAAATGCAATAGATACTAGTAGTGTAAATGTACCATCTACAACATCATGGTTGTCGGATGCAGATGACTGGGGTGATACTTTCAATGACAATGCCTCTGAACAAAATGGGAATAATTTATTGTCGAATAATGCGATAGAGTTTAACTTTTCTCTGCAAAGGGAAGTAGAACAGAATATAAGGGAAGAACTCTCTGCGCTACATGTAGATGATCCTAATGCAAACAGGTAGATATAAATTAAAAATGATTTGTCAAAATAATTATGAGTTAATTCATATGTAATTTGTTTTAGTCCAGCGAGTGTAGAGTCTCCAGTTGGAATAGGAGCTGTAGGTAGATTGGATTCACCTCAAGCATCTGCTGAAATTGATGGAGAAGAAAGTGAAGTTGTTTGTATAGATACTCCGACTCAGCCTCAACGTGATCTAGTCGGTTTATTACGCGAAGTAACTCCATTTCCAATATTATTAGAATCAAACACTGAAACAAACTTTTCATTCACTGAAATATTCCTTTCGGTGGAAGAAGAAGATTATAGCGCAGATATACCACAACATGTTTGTGATCTGTTACTGAAATATCAGTATAAAAATCCAGATTTATCAACAAAACCTACAGCAGATTCAATAGAAGAGAAAATAATGGAAACTGACATAGAAAAATATGAGAAGGGTATTCCTATGCATGGAGATGAAATGTTCCATAACTTTATCTCTCAAATACAAAAAAATCCAGGACAGCTCTTACGGTATTTCATCTTATTTCAAACAATATTTTTATAATCTTATATTAACTACCATAGTGTCTAATCAGTTTATTATTTTATGTTTCAGATACTCACGAGATAATTCTGCACCTTTGCTGCTGTATCCTATTAGCGGATGCGTGGGAAAATGTCGCCATTGCGGTGGTGAAATGATTTTTGAAGTCCAAATTTTATCTACATTAATTTCCAAATTAATACTTCAGCCACATACAGAAAAAAATTTCCAAATAGAATTTGGAACTGTTTTAGTATACACATGTCTTAGAAGTTGCTGGTCTGCAACGGATTTATACAGAGAAGAGCATGTTATTGTTCAAGCAGAAAGATTATAGTGATAGAACGATCAAATAAATTTAATAGAAGTTTAAACTTTTGATTTTAGGAAAATTCTGATTACATTCTTTTGGTAGCAAAATACCGTCCACCTTTTTGTGTACACTTCAACATTCCTAGTAAAGAATGGTGCATAAGAATGAAATTCTAATTCCTGGTATGAAATTTACTAGTAATATTATTCTAAAAGATTAAAATAGGACAGTCGAAATAAGAGTTATTATTTTATTTAATAACTGTACATTGCTATTCATACATAAATACAGAAATCTTAATGATAATATCTTTACATAGTTCTCTTGCTGTTTCTATTCACTTTACCATATTTATAGGTAAGAATACAAATTTATGTATATCCTTACATTATTTTTAGAAATGCTAATTTATAATTACAAGTCATTATTTAAAAATTACAATAAAGTAACTTAAAACGACTAGTGTTCAATATACCCTATGTGTAGGATGTTCCATTGGATACGTGCGTTCATTATATATTAAATGCGCAACATTTTTCTTAAATTCATCACCGTTTAGTATGCAATCTTGGTCAATCTCAGTACCAAACTTAGTAATTCTTTCATGTGAACGATGCGTCATAGACAGTACCATATTTAGTTCAATATTTGAATTTTTTTGACCAGCAGTGTATGATCTTGATACACGTGATACATTAGCAACCATTGAATATATTTCTAGAATCATTTTACTTATTCGAAGAAGTTCTGAGTAATTATCATTAATCTTTGTTCCATGGCGTTGCAGTGTCTCAAAAATAGTCGTCCTCATTTTGACGATAGAGCCTGCTATATAACCAACTGGAATTTCCAATGATGGATGAAAACATTTTATATCTACTGATGCCTCATAGAATACATTTACACAACGTTTCATTATACTAAAGAATGGATGCTTGTGTTGATTCCTTAATTTGTATATGTCATCATACACACTACCACCTATATGTTTTACGAGAGATGTTGCTACATAAATTTGTCCATCTAAATTATTTGTATCGAGTGTTGTTAAAGCCAAAGCACTATGATACGCATCTAAATAAATACTCTTATTCAAATAAATTTTTGCACCCATTAGTTGTAATGCAGACTGAATGGAACTTAAACACTTATTTGCACAATACATTTCTGTAATAATTCTTTCAAGTTCAACATCTTGATTTTCATAAAAATCTGTTAACTTGCTTGTTAGGTAAGCCATGCTTTCCATGGTATATAATGCATAAGTTATGTCAGCCAAAGCAGTTTTCACAATATCAAATTTATAGAAATCCCTATCAAAATGCTTCATTTCCAGAATGTCTGGTATTAAATGTTTCATAAACTTTGTTAAAATGGCTATAGACTGTCCAGCTATATTCTGATTTCCAGGTTTTAATAAATCCATCATAATATTGAATGCCTGATTTGGCTCGCCAACAATGTTTGTGCTGGGTACGATGGTATTTTCAAAATGAATTGAAAATACTGGCATTTCATGGCGCCCAACTATTTCACATGTTTGTGTACAAGTCATTCCATTAGAATTACCTTCAACCAAGAAAAGAGATACAGTATTAAGATTTAAGGTGTATGTTGGGTCAGTCTTTGCAAATACTAAAAACAGATTAGCATTCATTCCATTGTAAACAAATGATTTTTGTCCATTTAAAGACCATGATTCTTGATCATTTGGCACTGCATACATCTTATTATGATTAATATTGGTACCATTGTTCTGTTCTTTGAGGCATATCGTAGGAACAATTTCACCACTTATAATCCTTGGAAAGTATTTCTCTTTCTGACTGTCAGACCCATACTTTGAAATTATTTGAACAGGTAACATGAGATTTTGTACTACGTATGTACCTAACCAAGGTAATGTACTAAGCGTTTCTGTAAGCTTCAACGACTCCGTTTCTAACAGATCTAAACCTTCATATTTTTCATCAATATATGCTTTAAATACATCGAGATCACGAAGGTCTGATAATAATTCTTTTCTTCCGAGTGTCGGATTTTGTTGGAAATTCTGAATACAACTGTTGATCTGCGTTAACCAAGTTTCAAATTCATTATATCTGTCGATAGGTTGAACATCAGGGAGAGTAACAGATTGTGAATCAAAGTCTGTTATTAAAATATGCTTTAGAAAAGCTGGTCTTTGTGGTAGTTTTTCTCTTTTTTCCGAAAAACGAAACAAATTCACTGATGTCAATGGCTGTGCTTCGCTACTAAAATTTCTTCTTATATCGAAGACGTTTTTCAACTTTAACGACCTCCGCGCAAACATTTTTAACCACACTAAATAATATTTGGAGTATTTAAACTAAGAATAAAAACACACGCTCATCGATAAAGTATTGATGATACCAACTTTGATACGATAACTCTGCATATAAGTTCATCATCATATAGGGTACAAAATATTTGTAAAATTTAAATATTCATGTTTTCTAAAATACTTTTAATCTATTCGAAAATATTAATTAAGCGTTATATTGAGAATATATTTTTACATAAAAAGGTATTAGAAATAATTTAATTACTAAATCTGTTGTTTAATGTAGGGACTTTGAATTTGGCTTAAGTAAGTTTATGCACATACTGAAATGTTAAATAATTAAAGATGGCCTGAAAGAAGTGTAGAAGACGAAGTGTCACTTCAGAAATAGTATCATATATTTCACGAAAGTAAAATTGAAATTTAGCCTACAATCATGTCATATTTAAGTCAGCCCGATTACGTGCGTTATGTGTGTGACTGTGGATCTTTGAAACCAATATCGAAAACGTATTTCTGTAGATACTGTTCGAAAACTCGTTGCGGTTATTGTGTCTGTCAAGAGGTAGTTATATTGCAAAATCGTTTTGTTTTTGTCCTAGCGGCTTAATCTTTTAATATGCAACTGTTTTCATCAATAGATTGATACACATTATTGTCCTAATTGTATGGAAAATTATCCATCTGCAGAGGCACGTCTTCAGAAAAATAAGTAATTTGAATTATTTACTTAACCGTGTACTGTCGAATATAAAGATGTCATTGAATTTTATATTAATTTAAATAATATGTTGTCAGGTGTTCAAATTGCTTTGAATGTCCCTGTTGTTTTCATACTTTGTCCACAAGAGCAGGACATGTACCTTTTAAGACAGCACCTCCCGAAGGAGAAGAATCCAAAGATGTGAAAACAACACCAAAGAAATTTTATTATTTGTTCTGTTCATTATGTAGATGGACTTCGAGGGATGCTGGTATTCCAGATCAATCTGTTGGTATGTAATGAAAAAGAATGTTTTAATAATAATGTATGATAATATTAAATTATTAAAAGATAAATGTTTTATTTAGCAACTGGAGGTTGGCCTGAACAGGAAAATCCTCATATAAGTCGAATTAATGCTTTAATTGATTATCATAAAATATTGGCTTCCATAGAGAAGCAACAATGTGAAAAGAAATTCCGGCCAAAGCGTCCTTATGTGCTTGTAAAGTATTCAAATCACCTTCATTCTAAATTATGTTTTTTTTTTAATTAAAAGTATATATTTAACTTTTTATTTAATTTTAGGGCATGTTCACTATAACATCTTTAGTACGCAAACGGATTGGTTATCCTTCATACACTCCAACTAAGGACCAATCAAGTGATCAACCTCCACCATCTGTTGCCAGTGAAGAGGTAGAAGAACTACCAGCAGATATTTTTACAGCTCCAGTGGATGTAACCAAGAGTAAGTGGTTATTTGAAGTAAAATAATATCATTATAAAATTTATCAATGCCCTAACTAAATGATATTTTTAAATAGTTACCACATTGGAACAGAGATTACAACATTTAGAAGTACAGGCTGAGAATGTAAATGAATTGCGTCCGCAGCGTAGAAAATATTTAGTCAGAAGTTCGCAACGTTGCCGAGCATGCGAGCACAGTGTTAATAAGCCAGAGCTTTGTCCACAGTCTACAAAATTCAAGATTCAGCTTGCTGCATTGTAAGTTCATGGTATACGTTGTATATCTTTTTTCATTTAATTATTTCATATATGTATTATATTTTTGTTCTAGTTATCATGTACCAGAGGTAAGAATTGTTACTTGTGAACCACTTCGACCAGGTAAAACAAGTGAACTACTTCTGAAATTTTGTAATCCAACACAACATCAAACTGAAGTGATGTTGCTACCATTAAATACATCCATGACTCCAGTAGATACTACCAGTGAAAAAGAAGATGCGAAACAGGAAAATGTACAACAAGTAAACACTTTGTTCATTTTAGTAGGGAGTACTGCAAGCAACAAAAATAAGTAGACCTAGAGATATCTAAGTCAGTGTTTAAAAATTATTTTAATTTCTATTATAGGATTCAGAATCTCCAAACTTATTGCCTCTTATTGTACGACAAATACCTATAGCAGAAGAAATTAGATCTATAAAAGTTAATCCAAATGCAGACGTACTTCTGCCTCAAACTTTTTTTATACTTCCACCTAGAGATGATGCTGCTGAATACGACGATACAGGCGACACTCATAATTTTCAAGATGATCCTAAGTATGCATTTCATTATTTTAATTTCTGACTGTTATTATTGCGTTTCTTGAAAATTTTACAAATTTTATTTTTCTGCCAAGGCTTGTAGTTTGGCGTAAGGGAAATAAAGCAGTGATAAAACTTCATGTAATTCCACACGAGGATTTGAAGGAAAGTAAAGAAAATCAATCAATCATTATTGCATTTGTCATGAACTATGGATATGTAAATACATTTGCAAAACTAGAACATACAACACCTAAAAAATTTGATCTGAAAGTGAAACTGTATCTCACTGTGGGTAACATTGTTGGCAATGCTTAATGCTTGTTAAAAGTCTAATTTCTACGAATACAAACTATTACATAATAAATTATTCCATATTATATCATTTAAAGATAGTAAAATAATTAACTAATTTATATTAATTTCATAAATAACGTTAATGTATTCTTCAATTTTTTTTAACATGTTTTAAATAAAATAAATACTGAATATTTTATTGGGAATAAAGTGCACTATCAAGAAGAAGAAGAAGTGATAAGTTAAACTGGTACATGTACCTATGCATATTTATTTATTTACAAAAAAATGAAATTTATTTTCTTCCTTCTTCTTCAATGAAAGATGTGTTTATTGCATAAAGACGAACTGAACTATTATTTGTATAGATTAAGAGAATAAAATAATATAATACAATAATCCTTTTTTAAATATTTATTTTTGAAAGATAATAAACCACGCATAGAACCACAATTTACAATCTGCGTCCACGGCGACCACCCTTTCTACGTGTAGAATCAGATGGAATTGGTGTAACATCTTCAATACGACCAATTTTCATGCTAGAACGTGCGAGTGCTCGCAAAGCTGATTGTGCACCAGGACCAGGTGTCTTTGTTTTATTTCCTCCTGTAGCTCTTAATTTAATGTGAAGTGCTGTGATTCCAAGGGATTTACATTTCTCTGCTACATCCTGTTAATAATAAAAACATTATTACATTGTATCCATGTATACAATTTTTGTTGCATAATGTACTCTTCCAGGTAAAGAAATGTGACTTGTATAATCTCATTTCCATCGGAAGGAAGAAATTTAATATTCCACATACATGAACGCACCTATGACTAAGGAATATGCATCTAGGTGCTGCCTGGATGTGGATAGATTGACATGTATTGTTTCGTAAGTAAAAATAATTTACCTGAGCAGCAAGCATAGCAGCATATGGAGAAGCTTCATCACGATCTGCTTTAACTTTCATTCCACCAGTAACTCTGGCAATGGTTTCTCTATGACAAATATTGGTAGATGAAATAGTATTTGTATAGTATTAAATAGAAGAAAAGAGGTAACATCAAACATTATTTCTAAACTTACCTGCCCGAAAGATCGGTTACGTGAACAAAGGTATCATTGAAACTCGCAAAAATGTGAGCAACACCGAAAACAACTTCGCCTTCACGAAGTTGGGGTCCAAGAGAGACCTGAACTTCTTCTTTTTGTACCTTTCCCCTTTTTGGCGGCATTTCTGTTAAAAATATTATTGAACTATTTAATTCAATACATACTCTTATAGCGATAACTTTTCAATTCAATTATTTATCCCATTGAAATCAATAAATATAAACAATGTGGATTTAATTTTAGGTTATGTCTTGACACATAGCGTCTAGAATGCACAAGATTTTCGTGACGTAAATTTCATCCAATTGCATCCCAATATTTAATGGTAAATAGATACATATTTTAATATAGACGTATGTAAATGTGCTTCCTCTGTTTATATAATTTATTATTTTTCACATAACATTAAGTTTTCTGATAGAATATCCGCAAATTAAACTTACTGATCACTCCCCAACACAACGCGACTATAGCAGGAAGTCGAAAAGGAGGTATCTTCCGGTGCGCGGTTGTCGAGTTAGATTTCGATAGTATCGAAGATCGAAATATAAGTTGCGTCTTTCTTTCTTTTCAAAATATATCAAAACTTTCTTTTATTTGGTAATAAAACAAATACTTTGTTTTAATAAAAATAAATATTTATTTCAATATACAGTATAATTGACTTTCTCAAAGATGTAGTTATTCAAGAAATATGTTAATCAGAATCATCTATTACAAAAACTTTATGTGGAGGAATTTTATTTTTATTTGATGTACTCATGTAACTTTGTAATGTTGTTTGATCCTATTAACAAATGACACAATAATATAATTGTTATGTAAGTCAAAATTAACATATACATTATAAATTACTCAATATGATTTTACAATGTACCTGTTTCTTTGTTTGCACTGTAGTTTTAGATGAACGTTTAGTAATTGCCATGTCAAGAGCACTTTTAGCGCTTTCTTTACCTTTACCACGAGTACCTCCTCGTGATCCCTTTCCTCTACCTACTGTTCCTTTACCTCTACCCCTACCTTTGGTAGTAGGAACATTATCTGTTTCTTCATTTCCACTGCTATCAAGTGTTTCGATATCTTTGGATTGGTCGCTATCAGAAGTTTTCTTTGTTGTTTTATTATTCAATAATTGCTGTATCTATAAAATAATACATGATTTAACACCGTATTATTACCTTATAATAAAATTTGTTTGATGTACATACCTCTATGTCTTCTTGGTCATTTTCTATTCTTTTGTCTCGATAATTTTTTATTTCATTAGCGATACTTTCATTGGTATCAACTTCGCAAGTTTCTAAATGTGCAATGGTTTTCTTCATCTGATGCCTGAACAGGAAAAATAAATAGTAATATACTAATGTAATCAAGTTTAGAAATATGAAACAGTATTTCAAAATATTTCAACTCAAATATTGTACCTGACTATTTCTTTAAAGGCATCAGTATCGTGCTTATCGACAAATCGGCTTAATGCTTCATTTAAACCATTCACTGTTAGTACCGTTAGAAGATCTTTATTTTCTTCTAAACTGAAATGCTTTTTTAATCCTTCTTGAACACTTTTGTTCCAATCTGCATTCTCCTAATTAAAAAATGAACAAAATTTTATATTTGAAGTTGTAGCACAACAATTAAATTATTATTTACATCAATACAGCCGAAAACTTCAACCATGTCGTTAATATTATCATCAATATTGCTAAAACTAGATTTAGATTTCTTATGAATATTTTTATCTTTACGAAATACAATCATTTCCATGGGATTAGCAACTTCTTCGCAATATTTCAGTCCCAATCTGAAATGAGTTGTTTTATGTGATAACAGCAATTATTTACGTTCATTACTCATAATCACTAATATACTAATATAATCTTACTTATTCGTATCAAATACTTCTTCATCTTTGGTGTGAAATATCCTCAATCTAAGTAAAGGCTGTACAGGTTGCATTATATGACCTGATAATTGTTCTGCAGCTTTTGGTATTAACACATTTTCTATGTGATTATCAACAAAATTGTACACAGATTCAGAGAGTGACATGTTATAATCTTTTTGTATATCCTCGTCGCTCAGAATCAAATTGTCGAATACAAAAGGTCTAACAGTTCCTAGTCTTAGTTTCTTCATCTTAAATTTCATACCATTTATACTCAATAGACCAATGTGTTTAGGTTTTGCCTCACCTTCAGACAATGAAGTTGCAATAGAGCTACCTATAATTACATGCTTTAAGAAAAAGGTCGACAACTTTTAGGTATTGTAACAGACTACAAATCTTCAAAGTATACCAGGTTGAGAAATGAAATATTCAGTTTCATTGATAAATTCTGGAGTAATACGACATTCGTGTTCATGACCCCATATGATAAGATTAAGAAAGTTTGGAAGTTGGTTTTGTGGAATGTGTCCATATTCGTTGTGTTGGGCACGATTTTGGTGTAGAACAAGTATATTAAAACATTCTGGTATGTCGTTTGGACGTAACATATCAACCTATGCAGAAAAATTATTCACATTATGTAAGGGAAGTATTCTGATACATATACATATTTCATGATTTTACCTTATAATCTCTCAACAACCGTGACAGTCTTTGATCATTTATGTAACTTAAGCCGTAAAGTGCAATATAGTTTTCACCCTTTTTCAATATTAATGGAGGAATAGTAATTTTAGAAAGACTTGTCCATTTTCCAAAATAATTTACAAAACCAGATGCCGATAATAAATCCATTGATCCAACTGCCCCAAAACCTAAAGTTACAATATTAATTACCAATAAGAAAAACAATAATAAGAAGGCATGCTTGATATATATTTGCTGTTAAATATCTTTTACTTGGGTCATCATGGTTTCCATGAATGGAAAATATTGGCATGCTAATATTTAAGTTTGGATCCTCATAGTTTACAATTTTGTGAGCACAATGTTTGAATGCAACTTCAGGATCAGTTAAAAATTCTACCTTGATTTCTCTAATGAAAAGGTAATAATTAAAATTTCTTTATATATGAAATTCACACTCATATAAAGATATTTTGCTAACCTAGGACCTAAACAGTATTTTCTCAATAATTCCATGCATTTTAATATTGCAGTTTGTGAAGGCTTTGTGTCGTGGAATAAATCTCCTCCAAGGAGTATAAAATCTACTTCATTCTCTTTGCCAAGATGAAGTATTTCTTCAAAGGTAATAAAACTATCAGCAGTTTCCTGTCCTGAAATAAATGAAATATCTTTACTACATCTAAATATATTTCACAATACTGTGCTTAGAAAGAACTAAGAAATTTTATTAGAATGTTATACACTGCAGCAATACATTCGAAAGGAAAGTGATTTAACTCTAACAATTAATTATGGACATTGAACTTGTATTTATTAGAAACTAACCCCTTCTTTTATTGTGATCAAAACCAAGATGAATATCAGTTGCAACTAAAATTTTAAACGTATCATTCGGGTTAAGACTTTCGCTACATCCTTGCTCGGACGACATTTTGCGAATACAATATGTACAAATCTATTTAAAAACTGAACAAAAATTAACTCAATTCAGAACTTGTGTACACGGAAAGACGTTTAAACATCCAAATACAATTTTAAATTTACATCTATGAAATTAGCTACAATACTTTATAGGGAATGTACCATATGTTGGTAGTTCTTTAATTACTACTATAAAACTTTTGGTTTCTGATCAAAGTGTACTTTCTACGTTCGATGCAGTCACAGAATAAAGTAACAGAAAACGAAGAACCCTCTCATTTTAGAAATACGCATAATACAGGTAATATATATATATATATATCTAAAGTTCACATTAAACATACATAAAAATGAATTCCAAGGTTGTTTAAATTCAGCATAATCTAGAGGAATAATCACCATACCGATCGGTCCAGTAGCGACATCTATTAAAAACATTTAAACGTCATACAGTGATTTCTCTATATCGACTTGCTGAATTTTCCTTGAAATTCCAGAACATTATACTTTACGAGGTATCAGATATAACTATGTCATATTCCAAAGACCTATTATTACATTACGATAAAATAATATTCCAACATGCACATTCTACAGCGCTCTTAACGCACAGTCGAGAGTTCTCCATAACAATACGTCCTTAGTGCCGCTATGGTATTCGCATTACCGTCTCCTGATAAATCGAATAAATTCGATTGCATCCAGAAAATTAGAGATCGAAGGGAATCAATCGCTTCCAGATTAGCCCGGCGCGAGTGGCGCTACAGTCTGCGTCACGGAGCTTCAATTAATAGATAGGAATGTGTTTCTCGGAAGCCGCGAGTGGGATGGAAAATGATGTTCCATGGTGTACGAGAGTATCCGAAGCAGCGACGAATATGGCGACAGTGGGGGTCGTTGTAACAGCGTTTCGATCGCCACCTGGCGGTCAGTTGGCAGTCTTAACGGCAAGGCGCAGGCGGAGGTTCGCTCGCCATATTTGTTGTTGTCGTCGATGGGGTAGGCTAGCTCAAGTTTTTCGGGCGGCTAGTGCAGTGGTAGTGTGTAATTCCGACGTAAGTTAGTCGAATCGTTCGCGTGCCCGTGTCGGGCTGAACCTTCACGGAAGGTACCGCGGACACAGTGCGAAATGTCTCTTACATAAAACTGATAGGGCACTGGTGGCTCAGCTGTCCTAATCTGTTGTCGAGTGCACCGTTCTATGTGTGGCATGCGTGTATACATATAATCTATGTTTGTGTACTACTCCCCATTCTGTTCTGGTTCGGTACTGTTCGTTCGGTGGTGCTGGTAGTAGTAGTAGTAGTAGTAGTTGGTGAAAGAAAAGGTGAGGAGGGGTGTGAAGTACACCAGTGACGGAACGGTAAACTGGTTAGAGAGGGTGAGGTAAGCAGGAAAAGTGTCTGGATGTATACATATATATATATATATATATATATACACATACATATATACACATATATACGTATACACATACATATACATACGTACATACGAATGCATTAACACACAACTACCCAAAACACGTATACGTACACATGTATATTCATACATCTATATCTCAATATTATTTGTGTGGGCGCAAGGTGTGAAAGGTGGACAGTGAAATATACGGGGTGGCAGACGTAAGGAACAGATAGGGGTTGCTCTCCCTTGGCGGGGTCGGGGTCGTCGCACGTTCTTGACGTGGGTCTGTCGACCCGCCAAGGTCCTTGTGCTCCGTCCCTCGCCTCTCACGGACGTCAACTCTCTCCCTTTTGAGTTTTCCCTTGTCCTATCGCGGCTCGCGAACGGAACCTAACCTAATCGTACGCTCGTCCATTTGACGTTCGACGGATCGTCGGCCAGCAAGTTCTCGGTCTCGTATTGTACGAGAGATTTCGCCGTTCGTTCGTCGGTTTACCTTCCGCCGATTCCCCGGTACGGCGCGAACTCTGTCGAAACGTGAAAACAGATTCTCCTTTCGCACGTGAAAAATCATTACGCCGTTCAAACACTGTAGCGACGTGAATCAGCTGTTTCGTTTAATCTCCGGTTCCAACGATTTCCAACTGTTTCCAGGCGTCGCAGATTCCGTCGAGTCCGCTCGTCGAATCCCGTCGGTACCTGCAGCTCTTTCCGCTCGGTTCCCTTTAACGTCGAAACGGATTCGATCTGGAATTATCGACCAATGATACATATCAGTGGACAGATCGCTGTTTTATTGTACGACAATCGTTTATATTCGGCGAACCGTTTCTCCGAGGAGAAATTTTATCTCGCGTCCCACCGTTTTTACCGTGGCGAGTTTCCGACGAGCACGATTTGCTCGAAAGATAAAGCAGCGAATTGTCACCGAAAACGTTCGCTCTATAGGTTCGTGGTTTTCAACTGTGAAATGCGTTTGAATGATCAATGACATTGAATTCATATTCGAATAGACTTTCGGTGTAGCTCGTGTTGTGTTTTCGTTACAATCGACACGTTGGTGGAAGTATCGTTCTGTTTGGAAAATAGAGACTGTTACGGGGTTTATCTACGTTCGTCGAAACCGTTAACATGTTAATTAGTCAACTGTTCCCCGTCGATACGGAAGCTACCACGCGTTTATATTTATCTTCGAAGAGTAAGCAGGACCTTAAAACAGAATTCGAAAGTGAAAGGCGACCTTCTTATACTCTCGTGATCCAGATACGATTGTAAATTGATTTCGAACGCGAAAGACATCATGCTTCGAGTAATTACATATTTACTAGCTGCTCGCGAAGGGTGAGCGATTCACTGACATTCTCCTATTAAAAATTCTCCAATCGTACGTTGTAACAAAACAACAACACTGAAAGTCAGTTCGTGGGCACTCGTTCAAACGGATCGGACAGACTTATTTATTTATTGTTTTCTAGAACCTCATTTTACTTCACCCTTAACAGCATTTTCAGACATCAACACAATACTCGAAAGTTCAAAGCGGACAAATCGTTGTCCTTCGTTGATCGTCTCAATAATTTTCACAGGAAGTTTTAACCACTCGATTTCACACTGTAAAGTTCTAAAATTTAATATTTAACTCTTTGCACTCGGATGTTTCTTACTAGAAATATTTACCATTCCAAGACGATGTTCTTTGAGACTAATTCGAAGAGAAATCACCAGTACATTGAGGAACAAAGCTGTTTTATTCGAATGTTTCGCGTATCGAGGCATTTACAAAGTTTAACGTTAAATATCACATTCTATAGTTTTACTGTGTCAAGTCAAGTGACTGAGAGTCACCTAGAAATATTCGATTTATTTTGATGAGATGTAGGTGACATTTTTTAAAACTTAACGAGGAATCTATTCGCAAAATAAAAACAATGATATTTTATTTCCACATTTCACGTATCGACGGATTATTCAGGACTTAATGTTAAATACGAAATTTTACAGTTTTGATGCACCAATCGAGAGTCACCTCTCGAGTGCAAAGGGTTAATACTATACCTTATATAATCAGTTTGAGAAGTATCGAAATAAAATAGTGATTTCTCTTCGAGTTTCACAGAGTATCGTCTCCGTCTCGTCGGAAAATATGAAAATATTTTTATTGAGAAACATTCGAGTGCAAGGGGTTAATATTTTCTCGCAGAAAAGACTATCTGGGTGTGCACGAACACACGCAACGGTTGGTAACAAAACAGAAGTCCGTTTCAGGTCAAATTAATCGGAACTATTCGCGAGGGTTAAAACCGGCGGTTGCGATAGCTGTCTCCGATGACAGCGGTATAATAGGGGGTGGAAACGTCGGTCGGCGCGTTGGTGGTCGCAAAATGGTAGCCGGGAACGTTCCCCCAAATTCATCAGTCGCCTCACGCGCTGCCCAATCGAACTTCCTTTCGCTGATTCCGAATACCATTCAGAAATATATTCTGCAGGAGTAAACCGTCCTTCCGGTTCCATCGTCTTCCCCCGCAGCCGCTGTATTCGTTTTCATCTCGCCGCCCCTGTTGCATGCGTGACCTAGTCCGATCGTCTACACTTGAAAATCATTAATCGGTTCAACGATACCTTACCGCGAGTGTCATTGCGACTACTTTTTTGCTATTAGGTTTACAGTGTGTGATGGATATCGAACTCCTTGAATATTATTAACCCTTTGCGCTCGAGAGGCAGTCGCCATTTGGTGTGACACAGCAAAATTACAAAGTTTGATGTACTGTATAATATTAAAGTTCATTTAACTTGATTATCCATGAAACATTAAAATAGAATACTTCCATCCCTTGATTTCTATATTATTTATATGAATGTTAGTTATAAATTATGTTTCTAATTTTATTAGAAAATGAAGAATATTTCTAGCGAAACAATGTTCGAGTGCTGAGGGTTAAGTACGAATATCATTCGACTTTCATTGGAGCAATTATGCGAATACACATAATTCTCTGTTATTGAAACTGTAATTTTCGCGACTTGTATGGACAAAGTAGTCTTCTAGGGGCGAATAAAGTAGAATGTAGTGAATCTAGTGTTAAGGGTCGTAGGTCGAAGCAGTTGAAATTTTCCAGAAGCTAGAGAGGAACATAAACGAATTTTTAGTCGATCTTACATCTTGCTGTTATAATCGTGATCATTGTTAGGGAAAAATATAAGGTTTGAAATGAAACGAAACGAGCTCCCGCCAAGGACTCCCGTGTTTTAACCGCAACACTTTGCACATCCGCGATCTTCTTGAACCGAGAATCCTGATCCGCCGGAATCCGAAGGAAAAGGAGAAAAGAAATGAAAGGGAAACGGCAACAAGAGATCCGCCAACCCCGGATCCGTCCCGGCACGCGCGCGATGCCATTCGAGTACCCCGCCGAGGTAGCGCAACCCCCGGCTCATTCAAGAGCAGAGTTACTCTAAAAGAAAGAGAGAAAGGGAAGGTTATTAAACCAAATGTTGTTTATATTTGTTTATATTTATGTACCGAAGGGGAGAGAGACAAACATTACATAGATTTTTCGTGCAAATCGGATGACGGGACGTGTCATTAGCCCCACGTTATTTGAAAACGATCATACTCCAGAGTTAGTTCCTCGCTATTGACCGATAACAGAAGTTTACAAGCGCGGCGTGCTTTCGCTCTGTTCCGCCCCATAGACACAGCGTTAGGGTACGTTTATAGCAGAGCTGCCGTGCAAAAGCGACGATGAGAGCGAAGCAAAGAAATATACGCAGCTTTACAATGGAAACGTAGAGCAACGTTTAATAGTGCCAGTACAATACACAACATTTACGTTTAAAACATATATTC